AATGTAAAGTTTATAAACGTTTTGTTTTATTTACCACCGATGTGACTTCAGAAAAAATCAGAAATACAGTAACAATGCATAATTTATATTTAATAATGTTATGGTGTATTTTATGCATTTTTTAAGCTTGACAGTCATCTTATGCCCTTTAAAACCATTTTATTTCACGTTCCACAGAAGCAAGTGAATCATATGAATTCGAAACAACATGCAGGTGAATAAATGATGACAGAACTTATATTTTTGCGTGAACTATCCCTTTAAATTGGCACAGATTGGTTTAGAGAGACGGGATGAAGTCGTCTGGATTTTGATTGAGTCACTGCTAATACGGTGACGAGGCCTAGACGGCGTAAAGATATGATTGCGTTTGACCGTAGACGTACGACACTGTTCTGTTTCTATAGAAACTGGAATTGACTGTTAAGCATTTATGATTTATCAGCGTTGGCCGTCATCCGTCTGGCTTTAATGAAGTCAGGAGTGGCTTCTCGCGTTCCTGTCAACATCCCAATACACCCGTGACTTACTGGCAGCGGCTCCATCTGACGTCTCTGAGACATCCGGTTCAAGGACAAGTGGCCTGTTAAAGCTCGGGAAATAAAGCCATAAAGGCCAACGAGAAATAAGCACTTCATCACGGCACGGCTCACTGAGATTCATCTCAAACCGCTGGGATTTAGACAGAAATTCAGGTGTTTAAAGGGACAGTTCACCTAAAGATTTCAATTCTGTCATTATTTAAGTTTTTACAAACCTGTACGAGTTGAGTGGAACATAAAAGAAGAAAATCTGAAGAGTGTTGGGAACCAGACAGTTGACGGTAGCCATTGACTTCCATAGTAGGGGGGAAAATACTATGGAAGTCAATGGCTACCGTCAACGTTTTGGTCACCAACATTCTTCAAAATATCTTCTTTTGTGTTCAGCAGAAGAAAGAAACTCATATAGGTGTGTAAAATCTTGAGGGTGAGTAAATTACATCGTTTTCATTTATGGGTGAACTGTCCCTTTAAATGCTGTCGTAAGATGCATAAACTTTTGACGTTGAATCCGTTAAGATTTAAGTGGAAGAAACTGTGATTATGATCTACAGTGACAACGTCATGAGCAGAACAAAATGAATATGAAAGAAGTAAACTTTAAGTATCATGAGAAAGTTCTTTAATTAATGTTTTCTGACTAAAGAGATCATTGTGATGTTGGCTGGAGGGAATCACTAACAATGAATCACGCTGTTTATTTGACTCATGATTCACTGAACTAATTGTGCTAATCAGGTTTGTGGGTGGTTAGTAAATAATGTACTGTAAGCACAAACATGACTCAGCTGTTTAGTGAATTCACTTAACCGTATGAACAGAAAACTTCATCAGTAAGTCCTGTGTATTGAAAAGTAAATGCAGATTTGTTTTTTGTTTTTTTGAAAGAAACTGCATTTATTTGATCCGTAAAATTTGTAAAATATTTTTACAATATAAAATAACTGTTTTCTATTGTAATATATTTAAAAATGTAATTTATTCCTGTGATGCAAAGCTGAATCTTTTCAAAAAAGATTTTTTTTTTTTTTCAGGAAATATTTTTTTCTTTTCCTTTGACAATTTTCTTCAAAATCTTTTCATTTTCTTTCAAAAGGTCAGCATTTATGTGAAATAAAAATGTTTTGTAACATTATTATGTCTTAATTGTCACTTTTTTATTAATTTAATGCATCCTTGATGAATAAATGTATTAATAAAATTTAAAAAACGCCTTATTGATATATATATATATATATATATACATTCTGTTTCTGAAACATATTTAAATTATTTTAAAAAAGCCATTCAGATTTGTGTATTCACTATGATGTTCATCACAGCACCAAATACTTAAATATTTAGACTTAATAAGCTATTTATTTTCAAACTTTAATCTGTACTACAACATGCCCTAGATATTATTTGAAAGAGTTTTGATTCTTTATTGTTTGGTCACACTTTTAGATTAAGGCTCTATTAATAAACATTAGTTAACATAAACTGCCAATGAAACATTCATTAATCTTAGGTAATTCCAATATTTAAACTCAAAAGTTGCAACTGTGTTATGTAATGAGCTAACATGAACTAAGACTTGTATTTTTAACAAAGATTAATAACTTCTTTAGCAAACGTAGCTATTGCTCATTGTGAATGTTAATGCATTAACTAAGGTTAACTAATGAGATCTTATTGTAAAGTGATAGCTATTGGTCTTTATAATTCTTTTGCACTTTAATCTGTGTAAAATAATGCATTGCTTCATTGCATTTAAATGTTCATTATTTTTGTTATAACTAAATTTCAATATCGCGATAATACCGTACACCGTGATAAAAGCATTAGCAATAAATTGCAACATGAAAATTTGATACCGGCATATCCCTAACACACGCACGCACGCATGCTCACACACACATACACACACACACGCGCGCGCATGCACGCACGCACACACTAACACACAGAGAGACACTCACACACACACACACACTCACACACACAGAGACACTCACACACACACACACAGAGACACTCACACACACACACACACACACACACACACACACAGAGAGACACTCACACACACACACACACT